CCCCAAAACCCCAAAACCCCAAAACCCCTGGGTTAAACATCTAATTTAGATATTAATCAATGATTTCATTATTTAATAAAGCCATTTAATTTTTTTAATCGAATAAAATGCCCTCTCAAGCATTATTATCTATTTTAAGCAGTGTCTATATAAACTTATGATTCTGCCATTTCTATATTTATATTTAGCCTCCATCTTTTGGAATAGACATCTGAATACCATGAATATCACAATTTTTCCACTATCCAAGACTAATTTCTCCACTCTTTAATGCGTATACTCCAACACCTTCACTCTTACCATTCACCCATTATCCATATTACTAATCACCATTACTAAACTTAAACAATCCTAATCCTTCTGTATTGTTATTTACCCATTGACCTTCATAAATTCTACCATCTTTCCAATAATATTTTCCATATCCATGATATTTACTATCTTTCCACTCACCTATGTAGTAATCTCCTAACCATTATTCATCACAATAAATTACTCTTCCTTATCCATTTGTTTCATTATTCTTCCATAATCCATCATAGACTGAACCACTACTGTAAATTTATCTGCCTCTTCCATCTCTTTAATTTGTTACAATATCAAATTCCCCTTGATAAATAGTACCATCTGTATATTCAACAAGTGGTTTGAAGACTCTGTTTGGGTTTGAATGAATCTTGTCAATTGAGCCGTAGTTGAAATCTCCAAGACTCTCTATAATTTCATTCACTACAGTATTTTTAGAACTTATTGTCACAGCAAATTCAGCCCTTTCAACAACATCCTCATCAATGGTTGATAAGTTTATCTTTGAAGCAATATTCTAAAAATCATTTTGACCAATCATTCTTGCCATTTTTGTCAAAATTTCAGAGAAATCCTTGCACAACTATTGCTTTCTGTTTGAGTCACTATTAAGGGTATTAGCCACTTCTGCTTCAATCGCTTTGAATTTTTGAGATTTTAACAGTGTAATTAACTGATCATATTGACTCAAGATTCTGTTAGAATTTGGATGAATCTTATCAATAGCCGCTAAGTCAAATTCACCTAGTTAAGTTTCAATTTCATTGGCAACTTAATTTATTCGATCATTAGTAATATTATGTTGGTATTTCTTTTCTTCCTCCATTTCCAAATGCTTGTCCAGTGGCTCGTTATTAAGTAAGATAATAAATTCAAAGAGCACCTAAAGTGCATCAATTCTCAATAAAGGACTCAATTGAAGCATCTTGTTAAGAACCTCTTCGAATACCTTTTATTACCCTTCAAGACGTATGATCTCTCTTTCAGCTACTTCTTTAACTCTGATATTATTTAGCCTTGGTATGTATTTTTCTTAGTACAGAGGTAGTAAAGGATCATTCCGAGTGACCAAATGTCAACTTAACTGCTGTAGCTGAATTCTTCATTTAAATTAATTTCTGGTGCTTTGAAATGTTTTCCAACAAAACCATTAAAATTTGTCATGAATTGTGCCATTCCAAAGTCACAGATTTTGAACTTTTAGCTATTTTCAAAAACCAAAATGTTTTCAGGGCTCAGATCTCAGTGTATGACATTTTAGTCGTGGAGATGAATCGTGCCTTTGACTATCTGGATCATTATATCTGTAATTTGAGCATTGGTTAGTTCTTTGTTTTCCCTTAGGGCATAGAGGTTTGATTCCGCAAGTTCTGTGACAATCACGAATTCATCTTCAAAGGTGAAGTAGGACTCATAGAATTTTGTAATGTTTTGATGATTTAGCTTGAATGTGTTGATTTCTCGTATAATGCGAACCATCTCTATACTGAAATTGTTTGGTATTCTAGTCATTAGATTTTTCAAATTTTGAACCATCATTGCATAAACTTTGTTGTCGTACATATTCCTGACTTTTTTTACTGAACCGAATACACCAGATTCAATATTTTCCACAAATTTGTATTTATTCCATAGTGGCTGTGCTTATAGCGAGACATATTTTTCCATATTAATTTAGCAATAAACCTTTTATTTTATATTACTCAATAGTCAATTTATTCGAAGCTTTCGGGGTTTTGGGGTTTTGGGGTTTTGGGG